TATATATATATATATATATATATATATATATATATATATAAAACAGTAGCGCGGAGGCGACCAAGTGATCATTACATTAGCCGGGAAGTTGTGAGTATCATCACTCCAGCCAACATGTCCACCTCTTCTATCTCAGTCTGCAGCCTTGGACAGGTCACAGTTAGCTTGATTTTAGGCAGTTCGCTCTTATATAAAGAGAATTCGACTCGAAGAATGATACATGAAGATTTTTGAGAATATAGTACAAAGTAGCCTCCGAAAGCATCAGTATGGTCGGGAGTGAGTCTCTAGAGTTGCGACTGGTCACCCTACCCTTGCACCTCTCGAAATGCTCCCGTACGACCAAGCGTCTCAGGAAGCCCTACTCACTGTCTTCTCGTGTCAGGTATTTTCCTGCAAAAGTGAGAGGACGAAAAGCCGACATCCGAGGCTATAACCGGGTTGCTGGACCACTGGTAGTTCATCTAGGGGAGTTGGCCAAAAGCCCTGATTCCAAACCAACCATACACTTTCCAGGTTGTGGCAGTGGCCATCGGCTCGATTGGGCATTGAGGTGTATTGGGCACCTTGGACGTCTGACCCCGTCCGAAAGGTGTATGATCCGATAAACTGGACACCGGCCTCAAATGGATTAGTTTTCACACACCGCNATAAAGATAATTGTACCATGATTTGTTTGGCACAGTTTGGCGTCAGACGTGTATGTAATATACAGTACAAAGTGGCACCCGCAGTACCAATTGACGCTCTTTTTTCGAGGACAGCTTGTACAGTCAAGTGCTACCTACAGGAAGACGTGGAGATAGTGATGGTTCAAACCATTGACAGGACGGTTAAATAGTGCGCTGTGATGTTTTGTCGCACAGAGGTTGGTGGCTCGACAAACATTAACGCAGTCCACAGACATGGCTGACCAACGGCAGCACTTTAACAACTGATTAACCATCTCAGTGAACACACTATTATCCGTAACCTAAGGACGTTCCCCATGGCGCACAAATCCATTGGTTATATACATTTTGGTATTCTACGGTCTCTCACGGCACTCCCTGAAAACTACTGGGTGAAAAAGAATTAAAATATTAGTAATAGAAATTCCCGTAACTGAAATCGATGAAACAGAGTCAGGAGCAAAAATGAGTGATGCCCTAGAAACTAACCTCATTCGTTTGATCTAGACGGACAGTGGGTTCGTTCAAAGTTAAATCGTTCCTGAAACGTGAAACGGAAAGAAAGCATCAAAGTATGATACAAAAACGGAGTATTTAATCGCGTAAATCTCAGAACAAAGTGCATTAACCCCCCCTCCCCCCCCCCCCCCCGCATTTCGAACAAACAAGACACTTACACAAATAAGCTTACAGAACAAAAATTATCCTTAAATACAAATAATAATTTTATTTAATAGTTGGAGTTCCAAACTAACTTCGTTTCGACAGTTGAGGATCATTTTACAGTATTCTCACCCATAGGAACCCTGACCAACAACAGTGTTACATTCAACTTCATCCACATTATCACTGGCTTACATTTGAGAGTACTGTTCAGGGCTGCTACTTCCCATAGAATAAATGCTTGAGCCGGTGAATGGGCGTTTCGCGGGTAACATGTGCTCCTCTCCCAGTGATCCATCAGCCTGAGATAAAGCCGACTGGGACGCAGTTGCTGGGACGGACCCCACAACACCTGGTGCAGTACTGGGGGTGTAGCAATTCATGCGACCGTAAGCCATGGTGCGGATCGCACTATCAGATTCCACTGGGCAATACCGACGCAAGCTGTCGGGCCTTTTGATCGGCACGCCAGAAATACACGGCTCGGTGTGAGATTCCGTTTGTGCCGCCGGTGACGTGCGATTGTCATAGCCACGGTGATCCAAGACCGTGGTTGGATAACTCATGAAGGAGTGATGAATGGACGAATCCGATGATACACTGAAAGCATATCGAACAGAGTAAAGTGTATTATATTTTATATTTTTAAAGGAGGCTCGACTATGAGGTTACAAAATGTCTATCTAAGGTGGCTCTGATACAGGAGGGAATGACTTACGGACGGAACGAGTGTTGAGTACGAAACAGCAATTTTCAGTCACATGGCGAAATAAAACGAAAGTTCTTCGAACTCTCGCTTTTTTCCGCTGTGTCCGAGCAAAATGCAAGTGATAATGTAATGCCATCGAAGACTGCAGGGAAATTGCAGCCGTTGTTCATTGCGGTCAACGGTTTTGTTAGGTGTAAAAGGCGTGAAATACGAAGAATCCATCCAAAACTATCTTATAGCATTTAACAAAAAAGACTCAAATGTGAGCCAGACACTTAACCTAGTAGCTTGATCGTTCGTTTTCACATCCCAGTCTCATCAGCATTTGACAGAGAAAGGGTATATCGAATTGACGGTAACAACCTCATAACCTTCTAGAACTTACGAAAACCGTCGAATATCTCAAAATCGAAAACCCCGAATAATATTAAAACTGTTGTTTGGCAGATTTGAAGTTTGTATGGTGATTGTGAAAAGTTAAGTAGCCTCGGTGGGATTCGAAACCAAACATGGACGCCGCCTACGCTTTGTACGCGCACGCTCTACTAGCTGAGCTACGAGGCTACCCCCGAATTTTTCACAATCGCAATATACTATTAAAACCGCTCAGGCACGACCACATGTTATGAATTTCTGGTGACCGGTGCATGTGACGGGCGTGACAGAACACGGAGAGAAGCCACTAGAAAAACGAAAAATCGTCAGTAACGGTCAGTAACAAAAAGCCATCAGTGAACGGATGGATACCCTCAGTTTAAGCAGAGCTGAGTGCTACCAGGGGCGTCTCCGGGTTGTGGATAGGATACCTTCACAGAAGAAGGTTAGCCGTGAATACGTTGTGGCATACCGCAACAAATAAGCAGTCGCGAACAAACAGTGGCGACACTACCAGGGTGTGGCGGGTTTCAGGTCGGTCACCTGTTTCCTGTTTAAGGGCCGATTAAGCCCAATGATGGTGTCGTAACAAAGGTCAACGTGACTGGCTTTTTAAAACCAGTGATTGACCCCCTAACTTCCGAGGCGAAGGATTACTTCTTGTAGCCTTGCAGTTCGCACCTGGTTGTGCAAGGGCTAGAGGTGCGCCCTCAAAATAATAAACGCCGAGTGACGCTGGGGACGTCTCTCGTACCAAACTCTCAGTAACGTTATGATCCTGTCTTCCACAGCGGCAATCAGACATTCATGTAGCCGGCTTATTCTTTCCAAGGAGCCAGACGCGGTAAAGTAAGTAAAGTGAACGGATGGAAAATGCAAAGTGGCATTGAGGGGCGGTGGTGGCCCGGTGGTAACGTCACCAATTATCACCCCGGAGGACGAGAGTTCGAATCCCACCACCACCGCCTGACTTTCCCCATTTGTGTGTTGTATGGCAGCCCTCTGATTGGCCGCTTTCCCCTTCCTGAAAATTGTATCTTTGTATATTCAATAAAAGGAAGTAAAATGAAAAAGAAAAAGAAAAGAAAATCCTGAACCCTATGAGGATTGAGTACCACGTTATGTGGACATATCGTTCAAGGGTAGTGAATGTTTGAGAACTGCAAAAATGGGAAATAGAGAAGAATTGCTTGATCTAAGGTAGGGAATCAAACCCGCCCAAAAATAGAGATCGGAATACAGCACAAAGTGAAAAGGTGAAACAGTTAAACATGGGGAAATGGAACATAACTGGAATAACAATTTTTTTCGCATGTTTCACCGTACATCTTTTGATATTTTGTGTTGGTTGTTGTATTTTACGGGGCATTGGATTTCGACAGGTAGACCGTACAGCATTCGCGTCATTGACTTCTATTATGGGCCACATCTCTCAGCGTCTCTAACCATAGACAATCCTCA